TTATTTTGTGCACAACAAATATTTGTAGGCCTACTCATACAAGCCCTACACATATTTGTAGATTTCAACCATTAGATTAAAATTGATGAAAAATTATAGCCATGCGATCTCTCTTCTTTATAAAAATTTATGTGAGTATTGTTATTGGCTAGGGCAATAAAGTGCTTATTTTTTGTTGCAAATTGCAGGTGGGTTAAATAAACAAAAATACTACAATAGTAAATATTTGGTGATTTGGTCTTTGTTTGCATTTGTGTCATCACTATTTTCACATTTTCACGTTTTCTTGGCCAAGGTAATAATTGTGTCATCACTATTTTCACATTTTCTTGATAAATTGTAGCAATTTCCATCACATTGCCTTCATCACTACTAATCATGGACCATACCATTTTTTGCCAATTAAATTTTGTGTCGATGCAAAAAAACGAAACTATTTTTGCATTGACAATTTGAGTTCAAATATTATATCAATCACAATGATATTATTGAAACTTGCTTATTGTTAAAAATAAAAATTTCTAGCGTAACCTATTGTTAAATTCAATTGGACTGTTTTTGTATGTTTATCATTAAGTTTGCAATATAGAAAAAGGTCTAATTTTTTTTTTTTATTTCTGCATCTCTCTAAATTTTATAATTTTGCAAAATATTTAAATTGAGTGGATCTGAAAAGTGAAAAATATTGATTAAAATATTAAAAAGTTCACTAAAAATAATAAAATACAAATTAAAATTTTAAAAACTATTTTTTGAAACTCCAAAACTAAGTAAGTTTTGAATTTTAAATTTGTAAAAATTATTTTTAAAATATCCAACCAAACAAAATTTTAAGTTTGACAAACTCTTTTCAAAAATCTAATTATAAAATTCATTTGAAAATTCAAAATCATACGAATCATCTATTTATATTTTCACCTCAATTTTTTTTTTCACTGTGCCTTTAGGCACAGACATTCCCTAGTATATATAGGATCATGCATTGATTACTAACTAGCTATTGTTTTGACAAATCTGTTTCGACAGTGATCAATCGTTGTCTTCGTCTTCTTTGTTGGTTCAAATGACTTCGATTGAGTAGCTATTAGAGAGTAATTTAGAGTCTAAGTCAAAGATTTACAGGAATGTTGCTTTGAGGCTTTTTTTTGGGGGGGGGGTAAATTACACTAACACTTTCTAAGGTTTTTGTTTAATACCAATTCTCCCTCATGTTTGAAAAATTACATTTCTCTTTCTGAGATTTGTAATCTCATTATAAATTATTCCTGAATGCTTTAAAAAAATTTAAAGGATCATTTTGCCTTTTTCCTACCATTTCTTCTTCTTATCATCATAACTACATTTCACAAATTTTCATCATTAAATTCTACCTGAACATAATCTTATTAAGTCATATACAATTATAAATTTTATATAAAATTTTCAACAAAATGATATAGTTTAATGGTGACCTTTCACTTTAAAACAAAACACCCATAAACATGATTTATTTTTATAATAACATCACTACAACAATAATTTTATGATATTTTTTGTATAAGTTTTTATATATGGATAGAATTTTTTTTTTTTTTTTTGTATTTCCATCGTCATTTTTCTTTCTTGTCTATTCATCCACATTTATTACAATATTACCAAATATCGTCATTCATATTTATTATAATATTACTTAATTTATATATATATATATATATTTTTGGGGGGTTAATTTATAGTTTCCAAATGCTAATATGATCGGGTTTGATGAGGTGGTGTGAGGTGTGTGTTGCACCTAGTATTTGGGCTATTCAGACTCTACTAAATTTGGTTAATCAGGATTTATCCATTATTATTTGATTGCAAAAATTATTTGCCGCCCACCCAGGGATTGCCTGACTCATGTCATAAGCCAATCACTAAAATATAGTCTCCATAGTTCTTCGATCACTTGACATAAAATTATAAATCTCATGTCTTCTACTAATTATAGCGATCCCGGTTTTCCCTTCTTTGTTTATTGTATTCCGGACTCGGTTCCATGGATGTTGGTCGTTGTGTTATTCTCGTTTCTATCCTTTACTCTTTATATTTGAGTCTTTGGTTATGTTGGGCAGGTTTCAAACAGGTTGGTTGTGTTTAGAAACCAAAAGTTGTTATTATTATTATTATTATTATTATTATTATTATTTCTGTAGTTGTTGATTGTTGTTAACTGTTATTGTTGATGATGATGATGATAATGATGTGTTGTTGTTGTTGATGATGATGACTGTAACAGATAAACAAAAAGGTTGACACATATTTTTAACAGATAGAAAAAAAAATTAAATAGATAGAAAAAAATTGAACACATAGATAGAACTTAGGAAAAAAATTGAACAGATAATCAAAAATTTTGAGCAAATAGATAGAATTTAGGGGAAAAATTGAATAGATATATAGAATTTAAGAGAAAAATTGAGCAGATAGTCAAAAAATTTGAACAGATAAATATAAATTTGAACATATAGACACAAAATTTGAACAGATAGATATAAATTTAAATAGATAGTCAACGAAAAGTCAAATGGATAAAAAAAAAAGGTCAAGGGGTAAATTGGAAACAAAATGTCTCCTAAGACTTCTTACCAAACTATTTTACAAATTGTGGATTTCTCACAAACAAAAAAGATTCACTAGATTTAATTCCTTACACCCTTTTTAAATTGGATTTATCACCAATTTTCTCTCTTTTTTATTTTGTTTTATTTTTTTTATACTTGAAATACTCTTCACTAAATATTTTTTTCACTTGAAATTAAATATTGAGCAAAGCCTCATTTGGCAACACCTTAAGCTGCTTATTAACTTATTTGAGTCATATCAACTCTTTTATTTTTTCACATATCTTTTTGCAATAAATAAAAAAGTTACTTTTTAAATCATACATACAACAACTCTAAGATGGTTAAAAAATTGAAAATTAAAGGCTAAAAATTAAGTATTAAAAACTAAATGCTTAATTTTTTAAGTTAAAAAATTATTTGATAAAAATTTAAATGCTAAACTAAAAATAAATTATTTGATATGTATAAGAGCAAATTTAAAATTTATTATTTTCAAATTATCTATTTTAATTTTTATATTATGATGGTGGTAGTGGTGGTGGTAATGGTAACGTTGATAGTGGCGGGCATGGTACTGATGGTAGTAAAATGATGATAGTGCTCATTTGCTAATGAAGGAGGTGGTATAGTAATGGTGATGGTGGAATGATGTGGATGTGGCGGTGACGGTGGCGGTGGCGTGGCATGGTGGAGATGGTAGCAATAGTAGTGATAGTGATGGTGGTAGTGGGGGTAGCAACATTGTGGCGACCGCAGTAGTGGTGGTAGTAGTGATGGTGGTGGTGATAGTAGTGGTGGTGGTGACACAATAGTTAGTATTTATAAATTCAATCAGAATTAAGTAAGTGTCATATGATTAAAAAAAAAATTTAAAAAAAAATTTAAGTTGCATTTTAAGAGGTTTTTAAAATTTTAAGTGATATTAATTGTAATTATCAAATGAATTTAATTGATTATCACTTAATATATTTAATTTTAAGTGCTGAATTAAGTTATCAAACACTCCTAAGTAAATATGTGAGCCTTCATTTGGATGTGGGTTGACTTTTTAAGTCTTATATGGGATAGATTTTTTGACTTTTTTTGTGAGAGAAAAAATAAAATGATTATGATTTGAATGTGATATTTTATCTTATTGGGTTAAAAAGCTAATTTTATTTTTTTTGTGATTATTTTGCCAAACAAAGCCTAAAAACCCATTGTAAGAGGGGCTAATTTGAGCCCACTAAATTATTTAGGCCCAATAGCCCAAGATTAGTGGGCCCGAATTTATCGCCACATTAACTAAATTAAAAAAAAAAAAAAATAATAATAATAATAACTAGAGGATATTGTTTTTAAGTTGGCTTTTCTTTGATTTTTATTGCAACCCAAGCCGCACACCAAACACAAACAATGTTTTGTTTGTTTTCCATGAAAATTGCAACAACACTGTCACTTCAAATCTTCTTTACAAGCTGATGGGTATGTTGTAGTAATCTGACTATCGGCAATGGCAACGATTTTCTCTGCCAAATTTGGATTTCATCAACCTACTCAACTTCAACTTCCAGACCCAACTTCATTTAACAAAGTAAGATTACTCTCTCTCTGTCTCTCTTTCTCTCGCAAAAGCGAATTAGTTTGTGCTATCTGACGGTTTAATGACAATATCAAAGATCAATGGCAGGCTAGATGTTCTACAGCGACCTTACCAGTTCCAACTACCCAAAACGTCGATGGAGTCTCTGGAAGCAAAATTTCAGAGTCAAGTGCTAGTTATGAAACTCGCCAACAGACTCAAACCCAAGCTTTGGTTGATCTCCTACATCAATGTGCAGGGAAAAGGTCTGTAAGAGAAACAAAAATAGTTCATGGTTTCGTTTTGAAATCTAAATTTTCGGATAAACTCGGACAAGGTGGTTAGAGAGAATATCTCCCATGTGCCTTGCACATGGGCTCCATCCTACATCATGAGGTGCCTATAAATAGCACCCACCCATAGCTCTACAAGGGATGGATTTTGGAGATTTTTTTTAACTCTTGGGAAAGAACTAATTTCCCTTCTCCATTTATCGACCTTGAAAGTGAAAGTGGGAGATCCATGGGAGAGCCTTGCCATTATTCTATTCTCTAGCCATTTTGCCTTCTTCTTCACCCAATCTCTTATCTCCATCATCTCCTTTGTTGTTGTGTTCCTAAGTTGAGATTATTGAAGAATCTAAGCCTCTCATCATATTCTAGAGAATTTGAAGTTGTTCTTCAAGGATCTTTGAAGATCTTCGAATTTTCCAACTCCTTTCTTGAACCCTCTCCTACACCCATTAACTAAATTAAAAAAAAAAAAAAATAATAATAATAATAACTAGAGGATATTGTTTTTAAGTTGGCTTTTCTTTGATTTTTATTGCAACCCATTAGCTAATTTTATTTTTATTGCACACCAAACACAAAACAATGTTTTGTTTGTTTTCCTTGGAAATTGCAACAACACTGTCACTTCAAATCTTCTTTACAAGCTGATGGGTATGTTGTAGTAATCTGACTATCGGCAATGGCAACGATTTTCTCTGCCAAATTTGGATTTCATCAACCTACTCAACTTCAACTTCCAGACCCAACTTCATTTAACAAAGTAAGATTACTCTCTCTGTCTGTCTCTCTCTCAAATGCCAATTAAGTTTGTGCTATCTGACGATTTAATGACAATACCAAAAATCAATGGCAGACTAGATGTTCTACAGCGACCTTACCAGTTCCAACTACCCAAAACGTCGATGGAGTCTATGGAAGCAAAATTACAGAGTCAAGTGCTAGTTATGAAACTCGCCAACAGACTCAAACCCAAGCTTTGGTTGATCTCCTACATCAATGTGCAGAGAAAAGGTCTGTAAGAGAAACAAAAATAGTTCATGGTTTCGTTTTGAAATCTAAATTTTCGGATAAAGACTTGTTAGTGTTACTCAATCATGTAGCTTACGCGTATTCAAAATGCTCGGATTTTAGGGCTGCCCGTGAAGTGTTCGATAAAATGTCTAGGAGAAACGTTTTCTCTTGGACTGTTGTGATTGTGGGTTCAACTGAGCATGGGTTATATAATGATGGGTTGAAGTACTTTTGTGAGATGCAGGATTGTGGAATATGGCCCGATGGATTTACTTACTCTGCTATTCTTCAATTATGCATTGGTCTAGATTGTGTGGATTTGGGTAGAATGGTGCATGCCCATATTGTTATACGAGGCTTTGCACAGCATGTTTTTGTTAGTACATCTCTCCTTAACATGTACATGAAATTGGGGAATGTTGAGGATTCATGTCGGTTATTCAACACCACAACAGAACATAATGAAGTTTCTTGGAATGCAATAATATCAGGATTTACATCAAATGGTCATCACGTTGAAGCATTCGATTATTTTCTTGCAATGAAGAGGGAAGGATTCACTCCAAATACGTACTCCTTTATTGCTGTTCTGAAGGCAGTTGGGAATTTAGGTGATGCTGATAAAGGCAAAGAAGTTCACAAGTGTGTCTCCGAATTGGGTATGGAGTCTAATGTTCTTGTTGGAACTGCCCTCGTTGATATGTACTCAAATTGTGGGGCTTTATCTGGTGCAAGATCTGTTTTCGATATGAACTTTACGAATTGCGAAGTGAACATGCCATGGAATGCAATGATTTCAGGCTATTCACGATGTGGGTGTAGTCAAGAAGCTTTGGAATTGTATGTTAAAATGTGTGAAAACAATGTAAAATCTGATGTTTACACTTATTGTAGTGTGTTTAATACAATTGCAGATTTAAAGTGTTTAAAGTTTGGGAGGGAAGTTCATGGGAAGATTTTGAAGTCAGGGAATGATTTGATGTTCTTAAGTATTAACAATGCAATTGCAGATGCATATGCCAAATGTGAGTCCCTTGAAGATGTAAGGAAGGTTTTTGACAGAATGGAAGACAGAGATGTAGTGTCTTGGACCACCATATTGACTGCTTACTCTAATTGTTTAGAATGGGAGGAAGCACTGGCCGTCTTCTCTAGGATGAAGAAAGAAGGCTTTACACCCAATCAGTTTACCTTTTCTAGTGTGTTTGTCGCTTGTGCTGCCCTTAGTTTTCTTGAATTTGGTCGGCAAGTCCATGGCCTTCTGTTCAAGGCTGGTTTGGACACTGACAAGTGTGTAGAAAGTGCATTGATTGATATGTATGCTAAGTGTGGCAACATAACAGAGGCAGAGAATGTATTCAGTAGCATTTCTAACCCTGATATAGTTTCTTGGACTGCTATTATATCAGGTTATGCCCAACATGGTTATGTGGGACATGCCCTTCATCTTTTCAAAGCGATGGAGCAGTTTGGTATTAAACCTAATGCTGTTTCATTGTTGTGTGTTCTGTTTGCGTGTAGCCATGGTGGCTTGGTAGAAGAAGGCCTTTACTATTTCCGATTGATGGAGGAAACGTATGGTGTGGTTCCCAAGATGGAGCATTATGCTTGTATTGTTGACCTCTTAGGGCGTGCAGGCTACCTAAATGAGGCCTTGGAATTTATACAAAAAATGCCAATTGAACCAAATGATATGATTTGGCAGACATTGTTAGGAGTGTGCAGGGTCCACAACAATGTTGAGCTGGGAGAGATTGCTGCCAAGAAGATCCTTTCCATTCGACCAGATTATTCAGCTACGTATGTTCTTTTATCCAACACATACATGGAGGTGGGAAGTTTTAGGGATGGAATTAGTATGAGAAAACTAATGAAAGAGCGAGGTGTGAAGAAGGAACCTGGGTGCAGTTGGATATCTGTGAACAGTAAAGTCCATAAGTTTTATGCGGGAGACCAACAACATCCACAAAAAGACCAAATATATATCATGTTAGAAGAATTGAGGAAGACGATTAAGGACATGGGTTATGTACCAGATATGTGATACATATCGCAAGATCTAGGGTTACAATTTCTATAGGCTCTCGAGAAGATAGATATTTCTCTGTTTCATGACAGCTAGCATTCTGGCATTTCTCAATGCTTGATGTATTGCAACTAAACTAACGGGTAAAACTATTTTCTTTACATGCTACAATCTCAATTGGTGTGAAACTTTTGTGTTCGAAGACGTAGAACAGAGCTTAGAATTGTTCCCATGGAGCAAATAATTCCCCAGATGATGAAAGTCTTCTCATGGCAGTTGAACCCTGTGCATTCTCCATAATTGCTGCCTCTTTCTCTGTCATAATTGAGAGCAGCTAAATGCCCAAAAAGTAAGGAACCCACAGGAATGCTTGTGAGAACGATGTTCTGGTTAATGGACGCATTTTGACAGCCAAACAGTTCAGAAGTTGTGGAGGAAGCTATGGCAGCTATGGCTCCTGAACAGGCTCCTAGAATGGATGTACTAATGTACAAACATATGCTGCTGTCACTTGTGAGTAAGAAGAATGATGCAGGCATGGGAATCATTATGATGGCTATCAGTGCTGATCTTGATAATAATTTCCTTTCCCTGAAACAAGCAAATTCAGTAAATTATAAATTCATCTGTGAATGATATGGAACAGTGATCTAACTACATGTGGTGTTTGTGACAAAAAAGTGATCAGGTTTACTTTGTGTTAAAAAATGGTCTTTGTCTTTCTAATTGAGTTTATTCATGGGAATTCTTAAGCACTGGGCTTGGCTGAATGAGCTTCGGGAAACTCCCCTTCTTCCCAGCAGTTCAAAGTTGTATATTGTTGGTCAATATACTAAAAAATGTTTCTATGCCTTTTATGGGACTTGTGGTCAATCTCAGGTATGTCTTTTTCACCACTATTGTCATTTTGTGTTGCTAATTTGCTAGTAGTGCCTTGTGATTATTTAATGCTGACATAGGATGCTTTGGTTTAGCATTTTATATCTTAAGAAAGTCAAAATTCTATTTGAGTGGGTACTTTAAGATGCTAGATTATAGTCTTGACAAGTACTATAAAAATAAAATAAAAAATCATGTACTAAGAAATCTTTCTAACCTTGTGTACCAATCAAAAGTGACTGAGAAGACCCTCCCAAAAAAGCCAAATAGAGAGGATAGCACTTGTAGAAATGAAACTTCTTTGTTGCCACGAGATTGAGATATTCGCCCTAAGTTGTTCCCATAAACCATTGCCAGTGTAATTCCACATGCATTCACCCAAAAAAATAACCAGAAATCCAGACTCGTCAGTAGATCTTTCACCCCATGCTCATCTCGCACCTCAACATCCCTGTTCTTTTCTTGAACTTGCTCAATCTGTTCCGTCTCGATAATCCCTCCTTTTTCTTCATTGCAACAGATCTCTATGATACTTTGGGAGTTTGAGCTACTATCCCTGTTCTTTTCTTGGGCTTGCTCGACCTGTTCCTTCTCTATAACCCCTCCTTTTTCTCCATTGCAACAGATCTCTATGACCCTTTGGGAGTTTGAGCTACTATCCATAGTAGACACCTCGGGCATCACTTGTGAGCTCCATTTCTTTAGTGTGAATAAGCTTGCATTTATGGCCGGTGGCACCGCAAATGGTAGCACTATCACCAAAACTAAGATTATAATTCTTAGCTGTGGGGACATGTTCTTGAAAGGTGGTGCTATGCTTTCAATCAAAGCATATGCTCCGGTTACAATAGCAATCAAAAACACTGCTGGGTAGATGTCTGGTTCTCCGAATTGTATCGGCTTTTGACAGCTAAGTAATAGTGCCACAGCTAACCCAACCACGGTTGGAACAACACAACGTATGAGGAGATAAATACTTGAGTTTTGAGAATCCCTTTTCCCTGTAATTCCTTCGACTAACAATGTGTATAACTTTCCACCCAATGCAGAATAGCTTGACGTTAGTGAGATTATGGTTTTGTCTTTGAAGTTTCTAGAAGCTACTAGATTACAGTAAGTGTTGATCCAACAAATGCTAGTTCCGGCTACAACATTTAGTAAGAGTACATGCCAGTAAGATAGATAGGAGACCTTGCCTATCAAGTGTAAGTACTGCACGCCGAAACCAACTAGTTCCAAGACCAATCCTATCAATAAGATCATCCACATAGGAAGATACTCAGCCGCAGTGCTCGAAAACCATCCGAAGAGCCTTCCAGTGTCAAAAGCTACAATCAGATAGTTAAGTCGCACCTGAGACATGTTGTAATGATGCTCAATTAGGGATGAATATGTAGAACTTATAGAGTGGGTACCATTTATGGCTTGTAGAAAAGTGATGCACACAACGGTTATCCAAGAAAATTGAGAACTAGTGTATGATGAGTTGGTCATGTTGCTAGCTTAAATTTTTGCTTGGAAAGTAGATCATGCCAGTGTTTGCTTTATACCATTTTTTGTGAAAGTAATGCACGAAAATGGGAAGTCTTTGTTGAAATTTGTTTTGAGTAGCTGTCAGCTGATTATTTTCAAGATAATGAAATTGCATGGATTTGGCCAAGTAAAATATTAGGTGAATGACATTGATGGTTGAGGGTGGCAATATGGTTTGCTTTTGAGCAGCGATTTGAAAACTCATGAAAGTCACTCTCGTTCCAGCTCAAGTGTTTGGATAACTGGAATCTCTCACTAAAGCAAGTTGAAAAAAAGTTTCTCACCCAATGTTTAGAACTTGAATTGGATACTGGCTTGACTCTTGTTGGTTCAAATAGAGGGAAAAGTCATTAGGTAAGTGAAATTAACTTAGCATTCGATTAAATTATGGAATTCAAATATTTAGAAAAATTAATTAGGCAGACAGATGTATTGCATAAAGTTTAATTAGGATTAGAACAAATAAAGCGTGATTTTGGAACTTGATGGCCTAAAATAGGGTGAAAAAAAGGGTGGTCTAGTTTGTTATATATATTTTTAGGGGGTGGTCTAGGGGAGGGAAGACTGAAGAGGACTTGTTTCAAGAATGTCATGCAATGAACGAGTATTAAGTAGTAAATCAGAAACTATATATTGGCTTTGTTTGATAAACATAATGTCGGACAATTAAGAAACAACAAACATATAATTTTCCTTCATTTCAGTCATGATTTTAATAAACTTAGCTCTCTCAACTTCTTTTCCTTTCTGAACTGTTTCAAGACTCGAAAAACTTCACCTCTCAAAAGTAACCCGTGGATGCAAATAATTCTTTAGCATTATGCTACTGACATTAGCCAAGAACTCATAAAATTAGAGGGAATGGATTAGCTATGAGTCTTTGCAATATTAGATATCCACATCAAATGATCACCCATAGGTGTTGTACCATGTGATAGATCCACAAACAATTTTTCATCTGAAAATATGGTTCCCGTTTCATCTGAAATTATGGTTACCCATTACTTACATCAGTAATAATTATCAGTAATAACTTTGGGAAACATATACGCCGATAGATCTTCTCTCACAAAGAGTCGGGTATTCTATCCTTTCTGTCACTATTACGTGATCATAATTTTCCAGTGTTCCATTCTGACCTCATGTATTAGAAAAACTAACTAGGCCTCTATTCGCAAGTCACAACTTGGAGGGAAGTCATTTTCAAAATACCAAAACAATTGTCAACCTCATAAACTTAAATATTTTGTGGGATCTTAGAAATTGCAACCAAAACAGGACATCCCGCCAAAACGCAACCATCTCTACCTCTCATATATTATCTAAAAATTGAACTAATAGAGGCACGTAGAGTCAAAACATAGTCTGGGACGTCTTGTGGAGTTTGCCTTGGGATCCTGGTAGCGCTACAAACGAGTTGAGCTGCCATTTGTTTTTCGAGCTCGAAAATGAAGCTCGAATTCGGCTTGAAGCTCAATAATGAAGCAAAAGTTAAGCTCGGTTGGCCCATTAAATATTATTCTAAATTAAGTATCCATCTATAACACATTTCATATTATTTAAAATATGTTTAAATAGTAAACGAACCGACGTTATTCTAGCTTGAGTTTGGGCTCGGGCTTGTTTATATACATAATGAACTTGTATCGTTTGTGTTGTTTTTACTTGTAGGTGCTACTGGTTCTACTACTTGTGAAGAAGAAGGGACAATGACACTTTGCATCCTATTACATGCTCCGTAGACCCGTCTTATGTTTTTGTATGATCCAAATCTATTTTGGTAATTTTGCACTGTGTTCAGTTGTTGCAATGCAGCCAAACCGTGACCTAAATGTAGCAATCTATGTGGGCTTGCTAAAAAAATTTCTACCTCTTTCTTGGTATCAATTCGTTGCTACTTCTGGACGTTTTTTGGATTATTGGTAACCCTCTATAGGCATAGAAATTTTGTTCCTTCACCATTATTCAATGACAACCATGAAATTTTGAGTTTATTTATATGGACAGATTTCAATAACGCTATGTTTGGTTAGGGGATTTTGAAGAGAGATTTGGAAAGGAAAAGGGAAAAGAGATGTGAAATTAGGTGAAATATAGGTATATTTTATTCACATTTTACTTACTTTTTTCATTTCTTTTTTCAAATTTCTTCACAAATCTCCCAACCAAACACAAAGATATGCTTCGAATGGATTTTATTTTATGGTCCACAAAATATAGATTAGTTCAACCACTATTACTAGAAAGCACTCCCATTTTTAAATTTATTTATTTATTTTGTGGTGCACAAAATATAGATTAGTTCAAACTAGTGTTACTAGAAAAGACGCCACCCTACCAGCAATTTATGCTTTAGAATACGTTTTGAAACATGATATTCTTATTAGGGATCCAAAGTGTTCCAATTTGTTGTTTTTATATATTTTCTTAGGAAATGAATCAAATATATGAAATAAGAATTAAGATAGTCTCCTGTCCAATTTTTGGTTGTGGAGCCACCATAGACTTTATATTGATGATTCGTTCCATTCATTGTCATAGTATTTTTGTGTAGATTATTTGAAATTTTTTTAAATTGATTTAATAATTATAATCATATAATTCATTCATTTTTTTTTTCTGTTTATGACATCATATAATCTTGGTTATCGAATTGATATGAATTTTTTATTTTTTGTTTTATTTTGCTTTTTTTGTTTTTTGTAAATATATATATATATATATATAAACTTAAAACATGAACAAAATGAATCATCAAAATACGAGGGATTGACCGTCCCTTTTTAGCTAACGGAAAATGCTATAGGCTCCTAATTTTTTACCAAATAAATAACTAAATGTCTCATAAAGGTGTGGCCATGTGAGACGTTTAGTCAATTATTTAGGAAAAAATTTAGTATTTCTAACACTACCCTTTAGCTAACTAAAGTGAAATAAAAGTGGTCACAACCCTTTTGAAATTTATATTTTACTTGATTAATTTTAAGAATGGTAGACTCTATGTTTGAATGAAGGTTTAATTATTAACAAAAATCTGCTTGCTTGTTTTCATTTTTCAGAAAATACTTTTCAGAAAATTTTACTTTCTTATTTTTCGTATTTTTTTGTTTTTACTGAATTTTTTTAATATTTTAAGCAATTTTTTTTTTTTTACTTTTTAGACACACCTAACATAAATACACTTAAAAAGCAAAAAAATTGTAAAAAAATCTTTTAAAAATTCATTAAATACCAAAAATACAAAAAAAAATATAAAAATTCAGTACATTTTTTATATTTTTATGTATTTATTAATTTTTTAAAATATTTTTTTTCACAATTTTTTTACCTTTTAGATACATCTAACTAAGATGCATCTAAAAAAGTAAAAAAAATGTTTAAAATTTAAAAAATATTCACTAAAAACAAAAGAATACGAAAATCAAAAAACTCAGTTTTCAAAACACTATCCAGAAAACTCAAATCAAACACACTGAATAATCATTTTATGGAGGGTCTTAATAAATTGGGTGAATTACACTGACACCCCTTAAGGTTTGTCTTTAATACAAGTATCTTTTTTCACGTTTTGAAAATTACATCTCCTCTTAAGGTTTAAACTTTCATTACGATTTAATTCTTCCGTCAGTTAATCGTTAAGTCAGCTAACGGAAAAAAATAATATAAGAAATTAATTTTTTAAAATACCTATTTTACCCTTGTTTACATATATAAAATTGACAAATAATTTATTGTTTAGAAAATTTTATATGTTCCAGTCGTGATCTTTGGTTATGACCTATTATGGTGTTAGTTATAACTATTGATAATAACATTATTTTGATTATGATTCCAAAGGTATATAGTTATACCTTATGCGGTGTTTGGTTATAATTATTATTTTTTAATTATGATTCAAAAGGATCTAATTATAATATTTGTGATAATTAACACCACAAAAGCTTGGGTACCATAGCATTACCTAAATATTTAATAGTATAATAATATATGTATTGAATGAATTTTTGTAATTCTCAACAGATTTTTTTACTCATCCAGTAAAAAAAATTTTGATTTTTTTTATAAAAAAAAATTAGAGTAAAATAGGTATTTAAAAAAATTAATTTTTTATATTAATTTTTTCCGTTAGTTGACATAACGGTGAGAAGTTTAAAATTTAGGAAAAGGAAATGTAATTTTTAGAACGTGAGAGATATTTGTATTAAAGATAAATCTCAAAGAGTGTCAATGTAATTTATCCTGATAAATTTTAAGAGATGACTTGTCTTTAGTTAAAATTTTAACTGGACCAAACAATTAAGATCTTTGACCCGATAAAAATATCCCACTGACAAGAATCATTAAACGAAAAATTCTTATCGATAAGGGTATTTAAAAAATTTAACTCAGTCATACTTTCATAAATTCTTACTAGTAAAAGTGTTCTGTTTAATAATTAAAGCACATGACGTGTCACCTAATTGGAATTGCGTGCATTATTGTATGCAACTTTCCAACAAAAAGCTTAATATAATGGAAAATGCTAGAGGTCCCAAATTTTCTACTAAATAAATGACCAAATATCTCACATGGGTGTGGGGCCCACAAAATTGCGGACCCCACACCCATATGAGACATTTGGTCATTTGTTTGGTAGAAAATTTGGTATCCCTAGCATTACCCTATCATAATTTCAACATTTGGAGAGGATTGATATAGAAAAGTGATTATTGATCATCTATTTCAGTAAAAATCACATTGTCAAACTAATAGAAATTCGATTATACCTGTTAATATAATATTATTGTTACTTTGTTAATTGTATAGCTGTCTAGCTTTCTTGCTAATTGTATAGCTGGCTTCTTTCTGCTTTCGGTGGTAATGGATTGGCATCCAATGTACATTGCTTCTCTCTATAAAGAGAGAGTTCATTTCTCTTGTAACATACAACACATAATACAGAAACACTCTTTGCTCTCTAGCCTCTCTTTCAAATTAATCTTTCATGGTATCAGAGCCCATAAACCTGTTCGAAATTTTCTCCTGAGTCCAACGGCACCAAGCCCGTTCTCAGAAAAGCCAACACGCGCCCACACGCGCCACCCTTAGCCTCTGCGCGTCAACACGACCGCCACCACTCTCGCACGCGCCAACTCCTGTCGCTCACTTCCGCCACGCGCCCACACGCGCCCACACGACCGCGGCTCCCATACGCCGCGCCTGCTACCGTACGCGTACCGTGCGCCACTTTGCTATTGTGCACCCGCGTGCGCCAAACCAGCTCCCGTTCACTTCTCGGCTTCTTCCTCTCTTGACCTACGTGCCTTTTCCGATGCTGATTGGGCTGGGGATCCTACGGATCGACGCTCCACCACGGGATTCTGCTTCTTCTTAGGGGATTCTCTTCTTGCTTGGCGTAGCAAAAAACAATCTCTCACTGCCCGCTCTAGCACCGAAGCTGAATACCGAGCTCTTGCTGATACTACTCAGGAACTTCTCTGGCTTCGCTGGCTCCTTGCTGATATGGGAGTTTCTTCATCTACTCCTACTCCTCTCTACTGTGACAATCGGAGTGCTATTCAGATTGCTCACAATGATGTTTTTCATGATCGCACCAAACATATTGAGATTGATTGTCATTTCATTTGCCAGCATGTTACTTGTGGAACTGTTCATCTTCTTCCTATTGCTTCAGTCGATCAACTCGCTGATATCTTCACTAAGGCTCATCCTCCTGGCCGCTTTACTGATCTTGTTTCCAAACTCAACTTGGTAGATGCTTTCCCTCCTTGAGTTTGCGGGGGGCTGTTAATATAATATTATTGTTACTTTGTTAATTGTATAGCTGTCTAGCTTTCTTGCTAATTGTATAGCTGGCTTCTTTCTGCTTTCGGTGGTAATGGATTGGCATCCAATGTACATTGCTTCTCTCTATAAAGAGAGAGTTCATTTCTCTTGTAACATACAACACATAATACAGAAACACTCTTTGCTCTCTAGCCTCTCTTTCAAATTAATCTTTCAATACCAAAATTTTTTTTTTTTATGAGAATCTCACATTCTTGAAAGAATATTAGTCATTTAAGATTAAAAAGTGGACTTGAATCTGCAATATTTAAAATTTTATTTTTTCTCATTGAGAAAATGTAATGAAACCAAAAGTTTAAATTACATTGAAAATTCGTGTCATTCAAACATAGCCTAAATAAAAAGGGAGTATAGATAGGTTGCTCTATAAATGTCTTCCTAAATTTTATTCCACAATGTGTAGCATCACCACTTATCTTCTAAAATAAATTCTATAATGCACATCCCTTTTTTGAGATGTATATGAATTTTTAGCTTTGGTTTTGACCCTTAGCATTTTTTAGAAAGTTATGGTTTATTGTAGTGTTAGTTATGATTTATTGTAATTGTTATTTTGATTATGATCAAAGTGATGTTTAATTATGCCACAAGTGATATTTCATTATGTATTGTAAAATCTTGTATCTTGTAATGTGTAACAATAATAAATATAAATATGAAATTTAAAGATAATATTTTGGTCAATTTCAATTGGTTTCGAGGAGTCAGTCCATTCCACCAATTTTTCCTGTTTGGTGAACCATTTGTCTACTTGTTGTACACTTGAATTGTGGTAAAACGAACAACTCTTGTCAAACAAAACAGCCATTACTTCAATAGAAGAAACTTTTTGGGAATTATTATACAAGTTTCTACATTATCGTGAAGCATAAAAACAGCTCATAAAAGTTTGACACTGTTAATAATCTAGAGAAGAAAATGATAGGCTAGTTTTATTTAGAAAACCTATTATTCGAGAGACATTGTGTCACACATCACATTTGGATGAGAAATGACCCTTACCAAATATCATGCCTCATTCAACATGTGGAATAGACTGTTGTGAATATGCTATCCTTAGATTAGATTACTGTATTTTTCTAACAATGGTGATCAAGAGCTGATCAAATAATTTCAGTCAGAGAAAGAAGACAAAGTTGTATGTAGAGAGGGCATGTGTGGCTTCTTTGCACACGAAGGGTAGGTCTCTCTGCAAATAGCAAGCTTATGACATGAAAGGGTTTTTTGGAGACTTTGTATGTTAGAATTATATATTGCAACCGATGGAAACAGACAATGATACTTTGTTCTCAAAATTTTATTTCACAACAATGCACTTCAAATCAAGGGTCATCATTTGACTTGAAAGTTTGTTATCTGATTTAGGCTTAATTGGTTTAAATGAGGCTTGTGTTGGACTTGGGCCTAAGGTTTAGCCTGATTCGTTGGCTTGTGATAGGTAGCCCGTCAACTTGATTCATTGATCAGTCAGAGGCAACTCATGAGCTCGGCAAAATATATGAAAAAAATACAAGAAACAAAAAAACAAAAATGCCCAAATTATAAAACTAATTCTTGGCCTTGTTGGCTAAGCCGGTAGGCTTGCTTGTTGGCACATGAGAAACTGCTTGTCTACACAACCCATGGGCGTGGCCTTTAATTACATTTTTAGACTCCAAATTATGTTGTTTGCATCATTTGATCTCAATGTTTAATTTAATTTTCAATAAATAAAATTTAATTTTCAATATATAAAAAAAATTTAATTTGATCCCTTAACCTGACTTTGTTAGTAGATACCATTGAAGGCATAAATACATGTAAAAATTCATTCAAAGAGTTATATTTTTAGTTCCAAAATACGTGATCTATTTTATTAAGGAGAAAACTCACTTGATGTATATACACTTTTAGTTATCAAAATGTATGATTTGTATCATTTTAATATTCAAAATTATATATTTATCCATGACTTTAATGGTGTCTACAGATGGGATTAGATTGGAAGACCAAATTAAAACATTTTTTATACGTTAAGGGGTCAATCGACACAATTTAAACATTAGAAACAAAAATGACACAAACAAAATACTTTGGATAATAAAAATATAATTAACCCTTAAAACAATACAAGATACAAATTTAATTGATCTATTCATATGAAACTATTCCATAACTCTTTACATCTCTCTCTCCCATTCTCAAACCCCATTTCTTCTATTTTTAATATCCATGAAAGAAGCTCTTGTAATATGTACAGTCAAATGTGGGTTCTTGAGTGCAAAAGCATCAAACCTAGCTGAGAAAACCACATCCTCCATGTTCTTCACAATGAAGTTCAATGCAGTCTCTTTCAAACTATGGTTAGAACAAACATCTGAGATCTCTAAAATATCGAGTGCGTTCGAAGAGTCCAACGATCCGAGCATTCGGTGCTCACAGAATTTTTGCAGGAATGGTATGTCATACTTGTCAGCTGCTACTGAGAGTGAGTAGACATGTTTATCTACTTTCTCTTTAGGTAAGGTTCCGCTGTAGAGGAATTCTAGGAGTGATTCTAATTCTTCGTAGTTGAGTTCAGGGAGAGTTATGGTGTCATTTGGTGGAGCTTTGCATCCATCTGAGTCTAGCATGTTCTTCAATATATCTGATCTTGCCGCCTTCAATCAAACATGACATAGTAGTTGCAGATAATAAATAAGAGGAAAATGTTTGTGACCCCCACAAAAGAGGATCCCCATGACCCCTACTAATGTATTGATCATTGATCTATTTAAATTTTTTTTGAGAGTTGTAGTTGATAGTGACATGAATGATTTAGATCATTTTAGAAGTTGTGGGGGTTGTGTTTTGTAGGAGTCTTTATCATTACTGTAAAAAATTATACAAAACATATATGTGGAAAAATTACAATGGTAGTCCCTATGTTTTCACCTTTGTGTCATTATAGTTCTTTTAAATTTAACTGACTTGATTTCAACTCTAAATTTGTAATTTTATCTCAATTAAGTCTAATTGATTACTATTGTTCGTATATTTTTTTTTATTATAGAAAATGTGTACATAATAAAAGACATGTATTATGCTTTATAGTCAAAATTATATACTTGTTCAACTCAACAACCAATTTTTTTTAAAAATCTTAATCGACATTATCAATTGAATTAAATTGACATAAAATTTAAAATTAAACGTCAAAAGTGAGCTAATTAAAATTATATAAACCAAAATGACACAAATGACAAAATAAAAGACTTGTAATGTAATTTATCTAATATATATAATGATGTGGTAGAATTTTTACTACATCACTTTAGTAAATTTTTTTTTTTCTTTTTTCATTTATAAAATTTGTATTTGCAAATCACGTTTCATAAGAAAATAATAATAAGGGTAATGTCATAGGAAGCGCAACTCCATTATACCTTAAAAAAATCAATTAATAATTATATATCAGTCCGTATTTATATTCATTGATAACATTGAGAGAGAGAGAGAGTTACCAATAAAGCTCTATGGGCAGGAATAGGGGGACCATTATTGCCAGGCTTGACTTGAATATCAGTGTGAATCTGATCTCTAAATGAAGCAACAAATCCACCCAGAAAACTCAACTTATCATTCAGATCATCTTCCATGTCCTTCATCTCTTTTACCCATTTCAATGCATTTGCAAATCCCTGTGTGTGTGTGTGAGGGAAATAATTGAATTAATCCCATTGTCTACCATTTCATTACCAAATTTTGAATTTTGCAGTACAAATGCTGTGTTTTTTTTTTATTGTTTATAACTCAATATCCGACTGAAATGATCGATTAATCCGGAAGAACAATCCCACCATCCACTAGTAAGAGGCCCAATTAAAATTCAGGCAAGATCCCATATGCACTTTCTCCTAGAAATTATTTGTATCTAGGAGATTTGGACTGTGAAACCATAGAAGGAACACATCCCAAGTCCCAGCCTTGACCATTAAGCCAACTCTTTGGAATTAAGTTGCTAATAATTTGCTATTTTAATAATGTTTTCACTTTTTATGAAAAGACATACAGAAAAGTGAAAAAGTGATATAACAATTTATAATAATTTTTTAATTTTTTAACTGCAATCTTCAATTGCCAAACAAGTTTCTTATATTTAGGTAAACGAAAAAATTTGTTCAACTCTCATATTAATGTTTAAAAATAAATAAATAAATAAATTACCAACCTCCCAAAAAAATTTTTAAAAAAAAATATTACAAGATTACAGACGTAAAAAATTATAGGAAAAATTATCAATCAGTGTTATTATGAAAAAATTATTATAGATTCATGATAAAATTTATAGATTTAATTATCACTGTGTATAAATTTTATCACTTATCTGTAATTTTTTTTTAAAAAAACTTACACTGAAATGAAATTTTCCCAAAATTACATCTCGTCAAGTTGTTCTCTATTTTATTTATTTATTATTATTTTTAATGACATTTAATTGTTTAATTTATTGGGCTGGGTTCTCTCCAGGCCCAAAACATTTATAGCTGTGGACTGGGATGGCTCCCGATGAACATAATTAGGAGAATCAAGCAGGGACAGCCCAAATATGACAGTCAAGTTTGTTGGGCACCTGAATTCATGTCCCCAAATTCTCTCTCTCTATCCCCCCAAAAAAAATTAAATTAAATAAATAAAAATTATGAATGTTTCTTAGTTGTAGCTCCTTTCTGGTTCTGTTTCTTTGATTGTTTTGTTTGGTCCTTCCCACCTATCTGTACCTAGCAAAACTATTTGTCTGGGAAAATAAAATAAAAAAATAAAAAAATTGGAAACAAATTGCACCCTCAAAATTTCTGGTTGAATCCAAAAACCAAACAGGTCTTATATTTTTTGGTGTCCATAGATTCAGTAGATTTTAATGTATAATGTTATAACTGTTGTATGCATGGTCATAGATATCCCATAACAACCATAAACCAAAAAAAAAAAGAAAAGAAAAAGATTCAAACTGATTGTTAACTGATATAACAAGATCATCAAACAGAACTAACAACAGCAGATTAAAATGAAAAACAAATTGCAGAAAACCAGATATGGAAAAACCAACCTTGGATGAATTTGGTGAAGAAACAGCAGTGTTGTTATTGCATTTGTTGTCAACAACTCCCTTATCATTTTCGTGCTTGTTTGTGAGGGTGATCAAGCATCTGGCTCCCTCGTAACACGCTGCGCATATCGCATTCCTCGGTGGCCTCAAAATAAATGGCATCGTCGTACAGATTGAGCAATCCATCTTCTTCGAGAAGAAGCAGAAGAAGCTTTTTCGTGTTTAGAACTCAATTCTGTCTTCTTTTTTTATTTGTTTGTTCTTTATAGTTCTATTATGGGATTCGTTAATAAGACCTTTTTTTAAAAAGAAATATTGTTAGAGGGTTAGGCGAATATGACCTCTATAACTGCTTTCTTTTGTATGCATATATGGCTTGAAAAGAGAGAGTATCCTGATTTAGAAAGTGAACAATGCATATATAATTGCTTTATGTAGGGTGCACTCCGTTAATTTATTTAATGAAATTACTAAATTAGCCTTTAGAGGAGTTATTGGTAGAGCCGGAGAGAAATATCTATAGAGAGAATCTTAAGAGTTGTCCTGAGTGGTTTGAGATTGTGTTGCCTACACAATTGTTTAGGGTTTAATTATTGAGGTCAGGCTGTGAGAAAGTAATTTCTTGTGAATTCTTTAGTTCCAGCATGGAAGTTTGGCTTTTTATCGAACTAGGAAAGGGATCAATTGAGATATGCATAAGTTGACCTGAACATCCTTGACTACTTAACCAAATATATATATATATATATAGAGAGAGAGAGAGAGAGGAGTTCTATTTGGTGAAGAAACAGCAGTGTTGTTATTGCATTTGTTGTCAACAACTCCCTTATCAATTTCGTGCTTGTTTGTGAGGGTGATCAAGCATCTGGCTCCCTCGTAACACGCTGCGCATATCGTATTCCTCGGTGGCCTCAAAATAAATGGCATCGTCGTACAGATTGAGCAATCCATCTTCTTCGAGAAGAAGCAGAAGAAGCTTTTTCGTGTTTAGAACTCAATTCTTTCTTCTTTTTTTATTTGTTTGTTCTTTAAAGTTCTATTATGGGATTCGTTAATAAGACCTTTTTTTAAAAAGAAATATTGTTAGAGGGTTAGGCGAATATGACCTCTATAACTGCTTTCTTTTGTATGCATATATGGCTTGAAAAGAGAGAGTATCCTGATTTAGAAAGTGAACAATGCATATATAATTGCTTTATGTAGGGTGCACTCCATTAATTTATTTAATGAAATTACTAAATTAGCCTTTAGAGGAGTTATTGGTAGAGCCGGAGAGAAATATCTATAGAGAGAACCTTAAGGGTTGTCCTGAGTGGTTTGAGGTTGTGTTGCCTACACAATTGCTTAGGGTTTAATTATTGAGGTCAAGCCGTGAGAAAGTAATTTCTTGTGAATTCTTTAGTTCTAGCTTGGATGTTTGGCTTTTATCGAACTGGGAAAGGGATCAATTGAGATATGCATAAGTTGACCCGAACATCCTTGACTACTGAACCAAATATATATATATATAGAGACAGAGAGAGAGAGAGAGGAGTTCTATTCATTCTAGACTTTTAATTTTCTTTAATGATATTTGTCTCTTGATGTTTTTCATCTAAATGTCATGAGTATATAAAATACTTCTCATTTTTTAAAAATAACAAAACATATTATGCCACATGAAATATCACGTGAATAGTGAAAAATTATAGTAACATATTCTAGTTGTAAAAAGCAGTTCTCTTATAATCCATATGATTTACAATTTTTGTATTTTGGTCTTGGTCTACAATTGCTGTCTGAATCCCTAATTGTCACAAATATAGAGACAATACTGGCTAAAAATAAACTCTAACTTGTGTTTGTACAAGAAAATTAGAAGTGAAAAAGTGGAGATGGTGGAGGGCATAGTAGTCATAACAATAAAATCAAAGAGTTGGTTGGCGCCATGTCTTTTTGGAGTGAATTTAAAAAAAAGACCCATAAACTTATAGCTTAGTTAGAGAAGAATGAGAAAGTTAGGAAGTGGAAAGGGACTTTCCAACCTCATAAACAGCAAATATGTACAAGGCAACCACGTCTTAGGAACCACTTCAGAAAATAAGATACATACATATATATATTTTAGGCCAGTCTGGCCAATTCAGAATATAAGACCTCTCTAGAAAAACCCATTTTGTAACCTATGATGTACATTGTTCTACCAACTAATAGAGTTTCCAAGGTTATGATTGATTTTAATTAATCAATGTTTAGGGCATTATAATGATGGTGTTTATCACATGTAGAATTATCAAAGAAACTTAAACAAGTTTAGTAGATTGTGACAGCTCTAGGGCCCTCTTTAATTGTTTGGGGATAGAGAAGGGCTTAAAATTTAATTATTATTATTTTAGTGTTATTGAATTAGTGGATAACATTAATTTTATATATATATATATATATCATATAATTGGTTGGTATTAATTATATATATATATATATATATATATCATATAATTGGTTGGTTAGAATGGATTAAAACAAGTGATAAGATTTTAATAATTTAGTTTTTATATTTGGATCGTGAAGAGAAAATATATGTATACTTGTTAAAATGAATCCCTTATATGAGATGTTAATTTCCTAGATTATAAATTAGACTACACAAATGTTGAATTAGGAGAGATTAGAATTTAGAAGACAAAATTTGAATTGTGAATCCCACATGACTCCTAATCCAATATAGAGCTCTTCCAATCCTTTGAAATGGATATGAAATTGGAAATAAGATAAGTTATTGTGATTAGTTTTGGGACTGTGACTTATATATATGTATCCATTGTCTATAGTCAAAATGGCAGGCTTTCCATTGTCTATAGTCAAAATGGCAGGCTTGTTGCCCAAATTGGATAAATTTTGAATCCTTATGCTATTGTTGTGTCACTTCTTACGACACAGATGTGACAAAATTAGCCATCACTCAGGTCAATTTTGGTTATTATATATATGTGTCCATTGTCTATATAGTCAAAATGGCAGGCTTACTGCACAAATTGGGTCAATTTTGAATCCTTCACTTCTTACAACACAGATGTGACAAAATTAGGTATTACTCAGGTCAATTTTGGTTATTATATTCCCCAACCAAACCCCCCACCCACCCCCCGGGGGAAAAAATCCGGCCGTTCTTTTTCCTCATTAAAAATAAATAAATAAATAAGAATTTATGATGAGATTTTTATTGATAAATTCCATTTAAAAGTATTTTAATTCAAGAAGTTTATGAAAGAATTTTTAACTCATTTAGTCCAATGTATGTATAGTTTTATTTCATAAAGTTCTTTTTCTTGATTTACACCTTTTTCTTGGACACTTATACCTTTACATTTAATTTTGATACCCTTATAAATATTTTTTGAACGGTTAGCAATTTTATGATGTGAACATTCATATTTTAAAATTCACATTGGTACGAATGTAAAATTGGCCCGTGGCCGGCCCGAAACCCACCCGCGAGCCGGGGCGGAGCGGGCCCATTGACAATGTGAATATTCACATTGACATGTTAACATTCACATTAATAGGAGTGCAAAATTGGCCCGCGTCCCGTGGCGGCGCGAAACCCGCCGTGGCCCATGGGCGGCCTGGGGCGGGCCCAGTCCGGCCCGTTGACAATGTGAATATTCACATTGACATATTAACATTCACATTGATAAGAGTATAAAATTGGCCCATGGCCCATGGACGGCCAAAAGCCCGCCCGCGACCCGGGGCGGGCCCGGCCTGGCCCGTTGACGATGTGAATATTCACATTGATAGGAGTGTAAAATTAGCCCGCGCCTTGTGGCTGCCTGAAACCCGCCCACGGCCCATGGGCGGCCCGGGACGGGCCCGGCCCGGCCTGTTAACAATGTAAATATTCACATTGACATGTTAACATTCATATTGATAAGAGTATAAAATTGGCCAGCGGCCCAGGGCGGGCCCAACCCGGCCTGTTGACAATGTGAATATTCACATTGACATGTTAACATTCACATTGATAAGAGTATGAAATTGACCCGCAGCCCGTGGGCGGCCCGAAGCCCGACCGTAGCCTGAGGCGGGCTTGGCCCGACCTGTGACAATGTGAATATTCACATTGACATATTAACATTAACATTGATAGAAGTGTAAAATTTGCCCGTTGCCTGAAGCTTGCCCGCGGCCTAGGGTAGGCCTGGCCCGGCTCGTTGACAATGTGAATATTCACATTAACATGTTAAAATGCACATTGATAGGAATGTAGAATTGGCCCGCGGCCCGTGGGCTGCCCAAAGCCCGTCCACGGCCCGGGGCAAGCTCGTTTCGGTCTGGGCCCAAGCATGTCCGAGACCCTAGGTTAGGGTCTAGGTTATCACTTTGAAGCCCAGCCTAGCCCATTGGCCCTCTTATGGCCCATTCAAGGCTCGGTCCGAGGCCCAGCCCGCCCGAGGCGCAATGTATTTTTTTGTAGAAAATAATAAAATTTTGGTAGAAAAAATTGAAAAGAATTAAAAAAAATGGCCAGGCTCGCCCAAGCCCGACCTAAGCTTGAGGCTAGGCCCAAGCCCACCGGCCCGACCCGAGGCTTGATCCATCGGCTCGTCCAAAGCCCAAATATCCTTGTGCCAGGGCTAGGACCTGGGCCTAATTTTTTGGCTCGTGGGCCGGCCCGACCTGGCCCGAAAAAGGCTCGTTTGGGCCCAGGCTCGAGCTTAGTCCGAGACCCTAGGCTAGGGCCTGGGCTTTCACTTTGAAGCCCGGCTCGGCCCAGCCTATCGGCCTGGTTAAGGCCCATTCAAGGCCCGGCCCGCGTCGAGGCCTAGTGTCTTTTTTTGTGAAAAATAATAAAATTTTGGTAGAAAAAATTAAAAAGAATTAAAAAAAATGGCCAGGCCCGGGCCACCCACGGGCCGTGGGTGGATTTCGGGCAGCCACGAGACACGAGCTAATTTTACACTCCTATCAATGTGAATGTTAACATGTCAATGTGAATATTCACATTGTCAACGGGCCGGGCCGGGCTGGGCTCGCCCCGGGCCGTGGGCGGGCTTTTGGCCGCCCATGGGCTGCGGGCCAATTTTATACTTTTATCAATGTGAATGTTAACATGTCAATGTGAATATTCACATTGTCAACGGGCCAGGCCGGGCCCGCCCCGGGCCGCCCATGGGCCGCGGGCGGGTTTCACGCCTCCACGAGATGCGGGCCAATTTTATACTCCTATTAATGTAAATATTAACATGTCAATGTAAATATTCACATTGTCAATGAGCTGGGCCCGTCCCGGCCCGACTCGAATTTTTTCGGGCACCCACGAGGATCGACATGGGCCGGGCCTTTATACATTGACGATATGAACATTCACATTGACGGTGTGAACATTCACATTAGGGG